CTTCTCTTTAGTAGGGGAAGGAACGCCCCAGTCCGCCCCCTCGTTAAGGGTTCAGGGCCTCAATCCCACCCAGGTGAGCCTGCTTTTCTCCCTGGTAGCTGTGAGAGGTGCACGGGGAAGGGGAAGAGGGGATGGGAATGGGGGGGGGGGACTCTTTCAGTCAGTAGCAATGTTTAGCAGCTGCTGTCTGTGGACCCTGCAGCCCTGGGGAATCAGAGGCTAATCACTTGGGGCTCCGGCCTTCTACTGGGAGCAAGAGACATTCTGGGAAGTTGGAACCCGCGTGGACCAAGACCCTGCAGATTCTGCTAGAGTTGCCAGGGTGAAGGTCTCCAGAGGGCATAAGGGGTTGTGATTAGGGTGCTATATCTCAAGGCTGGGGTCTTGGTTCTAGGATAGCAGTTTACAACTTGTAGGTTTAACCCCTGCTGGGGTCACGTATCAGATATCCTGCATATCAGATATTTTACACTGCAGTTCCTAACACTAGCACAATTAAAGTTACGAAGTAGCAACGAAATAATTGTATGACTGGGGGTCACCGCAACATGAGGCGCTGTATTCAAGGGCTGTAGCATTGGGAAGGCTGAGAACCACTGCTCTAGGGTGTATGCTACTTGGAAATTGATGAAGGAGGGGGCTTGACAAAGTGTTAAGGTCTCAGTTGGGGAAGCTGGTTAGCTCTGCAAGTCCCTGGTCCTGGCAGACAGCCTACATCCTTTTCCTGGTGATAAAGGTGACCCAGTGGCCCACAGCTGTGTCTCCTGCCAGCACGGGGTGGGGTGGGGGTGGGGTGGGTGCGGTGGGGGTTGGGCAGCACCAGCTGGTGTGTGGAGTAAATCTGTGACACCTTGCTTATAGCTGTCGTCCATCTAGGCCTACAGAGCAGAAAGGAAATTTTATAGTTATCGTGAATTTCAAAATTGCGAATACAGGGGTCAGCATTCTCACGTCCTGCGATAACTTGCCGAGATGACAGGTTCGTCGGGGAGTTTCGTGGTCTTTTTCAGAGATGCATACCTAGGTCAAACCACTACGCCACGTGTGGCAGTTCCTGCCTGTCCAGCAGTTCAGCATTCAGACTGAGGCAGGAGGATTTCTGTGAGTTTGAGACCAGTCTGGGTTCCAGAATGAGACCCTGCTCCAAAGACCACAAAATATCATATTGCATTTCACAGTAAACATATTTATTGTTGGGGGGGGAAGACCCAGTTGAGGTAGGCCAGCCTGTCGTTGTGGAGTGAGTTCAGGGCTAGATTGGGCGACTCAATAAGAGTGTGTCAGAGTTTTTAGAAAGCGGGTGGATGTGAGTGTAGCTCCTGCTAGAGAATGCATCTACCTCCAGGTCCTAGGCTCAGTTCCCATTGTTCCCCCACTGAAAGCTGAGCGTGGTGGCTCGTGTCTGTAACCCTGGAACTTGGTAGACTGGCAGGGGTTCAAGCGTATGATGCCAGCCAGGGCTAATTAAGGGGACACCATATAGAAACTTCTCCAGCTTATTTCCCAGAAGACCTTGGTGCAGGGCAGAGTTTAGAGGAAGCCACCTCCATTCCTCTGTTTCTCCTTTCTACCCAGCTATCTGAGGAGTGATGGTATCAACTGCCAGCCGGCTTCCGAGGGCACACCCATAATCTGTACACTGGGGAGACCGGGGCAGAGAGATGGCTGTGAGTTTGAGGGCAGCCTTAGCTACAAAGGGAGTGTCAGGCAGGTTAGGGCTACTAGCAAGACATTGCCTTCCTTCACCACTACCCCACCCCAAAAAGGAAAGCAAACAAAGCAAGTGACAGCAAAGGCAGAAACCGGGAGCTCAGTAGGAGCTGGCAGTGGGGAACCTCTGGAAAGCGAGGGGGCCAAACCTCACAGCCACCCGGTTTCCAGCCCTGTGGAACTGCTGTGGTCTCAGTCCTCAAGAACTATGAGGGATTCAGTTCCTTCCTGGCAGTCTCTGAGGAAGGGAGTGAGATGAAGGGATTTTTTTTTTTTTTAATTTGGCTTGATGAGGTTAAAGAAATGTTAGGACTGGCCGGGTGGCTCAGTAGGTAAAGACTCTTGCCACCAAGCCCAATGTGCGGAGTTTGGTGAACAGAGCACACATGATAGACAGAGGAAACTCAGTGTTTTGAGTGTCCACACATGCGCACTGCGGTATGAAGCTACACACACACACACACACACACACACACACACACACGGTGGGGCATGTATGTGCCCCACTTTTAATCCCAGCACTTGAGGCAGATTTCTGAGTTCGAGGCCAGCCTGGTCGATAACACAAGAGTTCTGGGTAAGCCAGGGCTACATAGAGAGGACCCTGTATCAAAGAGAAAGGGAGAAAAGAAGAAGAAAGATCAATGACACCAAGAGTTTCTCTAAGGAAGAAATTGTCCATCAATGGGAGCACACCAAACTGAGAGTGTTAGCATCATAAGATGAGGTGGTGGAGGCCAGTATTTATTGGGAGAATAAAGAGATAAAAGGACATTGTTTGATTGGTTTGCAAAAGCCCCGGGTCACAGTTATAGGCTGACAGCTTATCATTGGCTGGGGTTAAATTTTGTAAACAAAAATTTCAGAAAATAACCCAAATTTCACTTATCATTTGTAATGGGGCAAAGTTGGGGCTGCTGTTGAGACCCGTCTGGTTTTATTTGCTCACGGATTCTGCAGGCCTGGTGTTTTGTTTAATGTGTTAAAGGCATTGTCCCCACTCCACGGTGCTATCGAGAGGTGATGGACTCTTCTTAAAAAAAAATGTTTTTAAAACGGTTTTATTTTATGTGTAGGTGCCTGAGTGTAGGTAAATGTACCACATGTGCGCAGGAGTCCACAGAGGTCAGAGGGCACATCAGATGCCCTGGAACTGGAGTTACAAACAGTTGTGAGCTATCATGTATGTGCTGAGAACCTAACCCAGGTCCTCTGCAAGAGCCGTAGTGCCTTTAACCACTTAGCGGTTCTCCACCTGAGGGCCGCGACCCCTTTCACAGGGGTGACATATCAGATGTCCTGCACGTCACATATTTACATTCCGATTCATAACAGTAGCAACATTACAGTTATGAAGTTCAGTGCACACCATTTTAGGGTTGGGGGGGTCACTACCACACAAGGAACTGTATTAAAGGGTCGCAGCGTTAGGAGGTTGGCTAGACCAGTAATCTAGTCCCAAGCCTTCCTTTTTTAAAATGATCTCAGCTAGCCTCCTGTGAGACAGGGTCTTGTGTGGCTCAGGCTGGTCTCTGACTCGCTACGCATCTGAGCCTGGCCTCGAATTCCTGTCCCTCTTGCTTCTGCGTTTCCAGTGCTGGCCTCGCACACAGGGAGAAGCTGGCCAGCACACCTGGTTTCCATTTTGATTTACTTTAGCCCGTGAGCTGCTCACCAGCTGTAGTTTGCTCTCTGGGTTTTAGCCTGGCTCTCTTGGAGGCAGCTCCTTCTTCCCCACGACGGCCGGCCGAGGCAGTTCCTCCACTTTCGGGACTGCTTTCTCCATCAGCCCCCCCTACCCTTCTGCTACCATAGATCGCTAGTCTGTGGGGTCTGTCTACTGCGTAGTTTCCCACTGGTCTGGGCCTTTCTGGGCCACAGGAAAGTTGCTTTGACTCAGGCAAGTCTAGGCCCTGGAACAGCTGCTCCACTTCATGGTCAGACTCAGGTTTTATCCATCCTTTTCTCGTGGGCAGGGCAGAGATTTTTAGGAAAGAGTCCTGTTCGGGACAAATCTTATTATCTAGCCTAGGCTACCTTTAACTCACAATAATCCTCCTGCCTGAGCCTCCTGAGTGCTGGGAATATAAGTGTTCATCTCCAGACCTCTCAGAATCTGAGGTTTAAAAAAAAATTGTATTTGCATGTGTGATATTTGTGCATGTGTGTGTGTGTGTGTGTGTGTGTGTGAGAGAGAGAGAGAGAGAGAGAGAGAGAGAGAGAGAGAGAGAGAGAGAATGCATGCTGCATCATGCCTGTGGCCATCAGAGGACAATGTATGGGAGGTTGGTTCTCCTATTATGTGGGACCCAGAGGTTGCACTCAAGTCTTCAGGTTGCACCCACTGAACCATCTTGCTGGCCCCAAACACGAGTCTTTTGAGTGCTGTGCCAGCCCTCACTCTATGCTTAGTTCCACCAAATTCCATCATCCCTACGGTGTTCCAGGCCCTGTTCCAGGCAGCCTGACACACCAACAAGCAACGCCTAATTGTCGGAGGTAAGGTAGTTCACTGAACTTAGTTTGTGTATTGACTGGCTGGTTGGGGGAGCCCCCAGGTTGATTTATCTCGATTTTCCTCTGACCAGCTGGGATTACAGGCATTATCATTTTAACATGGGAGCCGGGGACCCGAACTCGGGCCCTCACACTTGTTCTGTGCATGCTTTATCACACAGAACTGTCCCCCAGTTTCTGGAGGAATGCGGTTTTATTGCCATCGGTACATAGGGTGTGTGAGTACGGGCACACCAGCGCCACTCACTGCAACCACGTGGCAGTCAGGGGACAACTCCGTGGGGTCAGTTTTCTCTTTCCATGGGCTCTGGGTACCGAACTCAGGCTGTCAGGCTTGAACTCAAGTGCCTTGGGTCCAAGAAATAGGTTTCTATTTATTTATTTTTGATTAATTAGCTAATTAATTGAGTCTGGGTCTCATTATGTTGCCCCCAGATAGCCTGGAACTCAATAAACACAGACCAGGCTGGTCTTGAATTTACAGATCGCCTGCCCCTGCCTCCCAAGTGCTGGGATTAAAGGTATGAGTCACCAGCCTGGGCTTAAAGGCATGTGTTTTTAAAGGGCTGAGTGTGTAGCTGATTGGTAGAAAACTTGCCCAGCACCCATAAGACCCTGGGTACTTAAAAAAAAAAGAAAAGACACGAGTTAAGTCAAAAGAGCTCCCAGTCATAGTTGAAGCTATTCACCTCATGGGTGCTCTGAAATTAATTTCAATGTGCTTTACGGAGAGGGACTGAGGGTGAAACTCAGTGGTAAAATAAAGACACAAAACCACATCTTTATTGCAACCGCTCTTAAACAGAACTGAGCTTGCTAAGCAAGGATCATTTTAGGGCATGCAAAGATGGAGGAAGAGCCAGACATGGGCAAAGCAAGCCAGCCACAACAGCGAGTCAGGGCCACCCCTGGGGAAGCCCAAACATCCCCAAATCTCTTGCTGCACCTCACTGAAGGGGCCCAGCTACCTCTGGCCAGGACAATCTTTGAGGGAGGTTGCCAGAGGCGGTGGCTCAGGGTACCATGTGCCACCACTTGAAGGCGAAGGGCTTCCTGCGGACGTTGGTGCCACAGTGAACCTCTCCGTGATACACGTGGTAGGCATAGAAGTCATTGATGAAGGTGCAGTGGAGGCCCAGCGGCTCCAGCAGGGAGCGCACCTTCTCCTCCAGGCAGCAGTGGCCATTGATGATGGGCCCGAAGGGCTTGGGGATGCCCAGGTGCTTGCCCAGCACCAGCATGTTCACCTGCGGGAAAGTGGGGGCTCAGATCAGAGGAGACAGCGGCTAGGGTGGGACCCACAGGTCTACTGAACTAGGTCTGTGTTTTTAAAGATTTTTTTAAACTTTATTATTATATTACAAGCATTGGTGTTTTGCCTACATGTATGTCTGTGTGAGGCTGCTAGATCCACAGAAACTGGAGTTACAGGCAGTTGTGAGCTGCCATATGGGTGCTGAGAATTGTAACCCAGGTCCTCTGGAAGAGCAGCCAGAGCCCTTAACCTCTGAGCCATCTCTCAAGTCCCCCGTGTTTTCTTCTTGTAACAAGCCTTCAATTGGTAAAAAGTCACATGCTGTTGAAGTTTGCTGAAAAGCTAAACCACAGTGAACTATGATGCATGGGCCTCAGGAAGAGAGGGGGACAGATGGAGTCTTTGTATAGCTCAACGTGGAGAAGACACCTCAGTAGCCAGATTTGAGCCCCCGACTTGAGACCCCAGAGCCGGCTCCTTCCTGAACTGTAGCCCCCAGTCCTACACCTGCCCGTGGGCTTTCTTTGGAGAAGGCTGGTCAAACTCCAAGGGAGGTGGGATGATGCTTGGGGGTCACAGTTAAGTAACAAAGGGGTCCACGCTCTGAAAGGTCAGATCTGGCCCTGACATTGTTGCAAGACTCCGAAGAGGCTCTGGGTGCCATAAGGGACACGTGAACCTCTAAGTGTGAGGGGAGAGTCACCTGCACCTGCCTTAGGCCCGCTTTAGGCCTCTAATTGGTTGCGCGCTGAGGTTTAAGCCATTTGAGTGGGATGAAGTTGGGTGGTGGCTGTCACCTCCTTACCATGTTTGGGAAGAAGGCCTCGGCCTTCGGGTTCCCTCTGGAGTTCCCCACGAGCTTGAAGAGCTGTGGAATGTCAATGATGTCGCCTTCCGCCAGGCCCAGCTCCTGCTTCAGCACCACCCGGTTCCAGTCAATACAGCTCTGGTGGGGAGACCCAGGGGGTGCATTAGGGGAGGAGGAAGAGTGGAACCATAGGGGTGGGTAAGAAGCAGGGTTTGGGCTCCCAGGGACCCCATACACTCCCTTTCCTGCTCTCTACCTGTTCCTGGGCTTCAGACCCTGGGGGCCAGTAGCCAAGCCAATGTCTAGGGAGCAGCCCTGCAAGGCCCCCACCCCACCCACCCATGTATCTAATGGCAGGCAGTGTCTCCAGGACAGTCTGGCTGAATACCTCCACATAGGCATTCTGGTCTCTCAGTTTCTTGTTGGACAAAATGTCATTGATCGTCTGGTTTCTTCCTGTCATGGAGGAAGAGAGTGAAAAGATGGACCCAATTTAGGAGGCAGGACCCAGTGAGGGAGGGGCAGAGCTGGACCCAGTGTTTCCATCTCTTTAGTGAGGATGTTCTAATTCAAGATGCCCTTGCTTGCCGGGTGGTAGTGGCGTACGCCTTTAATCCCAGCACTCGGGAGGCAGAGGCAGGCGGATCTCTGTGAGTTTGAGTCCAGCCTGGTCTACAAGAGCTAGTTCCAGGGCAGGCTCCAAGGCTACAGAGAAACCCAGTCTCGAAAAACCAAACCAAACCAAACCAAAACAAAAGATGCACTTGCTCCCCACAGTGCACCCATCCACAAGGGGTCTTGCATGTTTTGGAGGAGGGGTTCCAGAAATGCTGTCTTTAGTGATAAAACTTGGCACACTCTAGCACCAGGATTGGCACAGAGTCAAAGAAACAAGGATGGTTGAGTGACCCCACTGAACCTCACTGACACAGAGGATGAGGAAGGCAACCATCGAACAGAAGCTACAGCCTCAGACCAGGAGGCAAAGCCCAAAGCAGCACAGAGGACAAGCTGCTGCTTGAGAGACAAGATTCCAACAGAGTCAACCAAGCAAACCAAAGAACTCCATTCCAATGCTAGCCACCCCCCACCCCCCATCCAGCCGCACCAACCGTGGTGGCCCCAGCACCAATAGATGAGGCAGCTGTGTCAGTGTCCCCAGGAGGTGGCACTGGCTGGCTGGAAAGGGAAGCTGCATGAGGAAGGTTCTTAGGTGGGGGCCTCAGGTTGGCTTGGGGGGCGACACAGCATGGCTGGACCCCTGACTCGGGGTGGATCAGGACTGGAGAAATGAGTGGGGCCCTGGTGCTCTGGGCTCTTCCAATTCCAGAGCTTTAACCCTTAGTCTCAGAGCCTATTTATATTTGTGTGTGTGTGTGTGTGTGTGTGCGCGTGTGTGCGCGCGCACGCGCACGCACACCATACATGCATCTGATGCCTGAGCAGGCTACAAAACAGCGTCAGATCCCCTGGAACTGACAGGTAGTTGAGAGCCGTCATGTGAGGGCTGGGAACCAAACTCAGGTTCTCTGCAAGAGTAACAAGTGCTCTTAACTGCTGAGCTCTCTCTCCAGTCCCTATATTTACTTTTGAGACAGCCTCTCATGTAGCCCAGGCTAACCTCAGATTTGCTGTGTAGCCAAGGATGACCCTGAATTCCTGGTTCTCAACCTCCTGAGTGCTGGGATTACAGGCGTGCACCACCGCGCCCGGTTTACAGTGCTCAGGGGAGAAGGGGCTGATGCTTAGCAAGCCCTCTTCCATCTGAGCTAAGTCCGCAGCCCCAGACCCAGATGCTGTTAGGGAAGGAGGAGACTGGGGTGGGTGTGGGCTCTGTGCCAGAGCGCTTCCTTGGTGTGCATGAGACCCTGCATTCCAGCAATACAGGGAAGGAAAACTAGCAAGCAAAGGGGCATGGGGCTGGTTTGCTCACCTCTGTCTAACACGCTCAAACAGGTGTAGAGAAAACTCTTGTGTCCCAGAGGGTCCTTAGCCTCTGACCCTGCCTGTTGAATTTATTGAAAACATTGTGTTCCATGGACTTCGCTCAGTTCTTTCTCTCTGTTGCCCTGGAGCCTTCTCAGTTCCCTGTCTGTAATTTTCCCTTTCAGTTACCTCACGGACTCTTCCATGCTGTTAACCCTGGTTCATGCCCTGCCACTTCCAGGACACCTTCCCTGAGCCGTATTGACTCAGGCGCCCCCAAAATACCTTTTGTTGTCTTAGCTCACTGGGAGTTGGGGACCCCGTGCTGAGTATGGTGCCCCGCACAGTCGGTACACAAATCTCTTCAGACCCACAGAATCTCATGGAACAGTGGATACCATAGACAGCAGAAGAAGCTGTCCACACAGGATGCCAGCCATGGTCAACTTACTCGGGATCCCTTCAAACAGCGGTACCTCCCCATGGCCCTGACTCTGCTGTTCCTGGAGCAGCTGGTAGCAGGCTCTGGGGCTGGACATCAACAGTCGAAAGCTCTGCTGGGAAACACTGGAGTCAGAGGGCGGCTCTGCCCCCCACATGGGGTTTCTAGGAGGGGGGATAGCACCCTCTGTCGCCTTCCCGTCCCCACAGAGAAGGAGAGCTGGCTTGAAAACCCAGGAAGAAGGGCTACGCACCTGCCTGTCGGGTGCTGGGACAAAACTCAGGAACTCATCGATGTGACCCACGAAGAGCCAGTCAGAGAAGAGCCTCACTGGGGCCTGCACCTGCTGGGCGCACAGGAAGTCCTGCAGGGCCTGATGCATGTCTCGGCTCTCGCTGCTGTCCTCACAGGAAGGAGAAGTTATGACAGCCATCAACATCATCAAAAGATCATCACAAGTGGCCCTGGAATCCCACCTGTGCATCTTCCCTCATAGAAGGAGGGCGTGAGGAGGGTCATAGGGCCCTTCTGTGAGATTCCAGAGCCTGCCTGCACCCCTTTCAGCTGGATGTAGGTCTTCCCTAACCCTGTATCATCACGTGCTCTCAAGAGGTGCGAGAGCAGCGGTCACGACCCCCATAGGGTCAAAATACCTTTTCCCAGGGGTCACCTAAGACTGTTGGAAAACACAGATATTTACATTATGATTCATAACAGCAGCAAAATTACAGTTATGGAGTAGCAACAGAAATAATTTTATGGTTGGGGGGGTCACCACAATACGAGGAATTGCATTAAAAGGGTCGCAGCGTTAGGAAGGCTGAGAACCATTGTACTAGATAGAGTGTGCGAAAGAAAATTTGAAGGGGAGAAGAGGTCTGTGGATGCAGGGAAGCGGGGCAGGGGTCATCCATGCTGGGGTGAGACTCCAATGATGCTTCATGGTGACCCACCCACCTGTAAGTAACCTCTCACCCATGCTCAGTGCAAGCCCAATTCACCCCCAAGTTGGACGCTGGAAGAGCAATTACTTTGGTCAGTTGTTGATCTTAGCTGGAAAAGGTCATGCAGTGGGCATGGCCATGGGGACAGTGGACTGGAAGAAGACTCAAGGCTCCGCCCACCTATGGAAGGGACCACGGAGCATGGGCTGCTGCTGTTGTGGTCCTGATATCTGAACAATTTAGGCTTTGCTGCTACAGCTTCCTTGGAGGGAAACTGAGGCACAGCCACTGAGGCTCATAGGGTCAGAGTCAAACCACAGAAACATTGCCCACTGATTTCAGCAGCCTAGATGCCTGTGTGATGGGGAAGCATGGGCTTCAGAGCTGGTCACAGCTACTATCCCACCCCTGGTTTCTGGCACACAGTAGATGCTCAGTAAACAGTCACTGACTGACATATGTAAGTGAACAGAGGTAGGCCCTGGAGGTTCCTCTCCTTATGTGCAGATTCCTCTCAATGTCTGCTGACCTCCTGGGTTTGGAGAAGGTACGGGAGGCTCCACCGTGGCTTTTGTCACTGTCCCCTACCCCAGTACCTAGGGCATGGCCACCCCTCCTGTTCTTTCCCTTACCTGGAGTAACCACTGCTCCCAATGAGGATCCTGCCAAGTGGGTATTCCTTTCCTCTGACGGTGACTGGGGGACTCACCTCCAGGTTCCCGAAGGCATCCAGCCCTGTGACCTCCGCTGTGTAGGGCCCTCGGGTCACATAGCCAAAGTTTGGACCCTAAGATGGGAGGAGGAGACTCTGAGAATCAGAGGCATCTGCCCCGGGTGGCAATGGTGACTGAGGGCTTAAGGCTGGTTTGGCCCTGGGAAGGAATCCTGTGATTGCAGAGAGGAAGTTTATGACTGTGAAGTGTGAAAGGGTTGCTGGATTGAGCCAGGGACGCTTGAAAGCGATGGGGCCTCTTGGGTCCCCGGCACACGCGCAAAACAGAATCTCAAAGCATTATTTCTGCTCGTTCTCTACAGGCTGGCAACAGGGAAGGAGTGGAGACGGGGACTCCTTCAGCCAGTTTGAGAAGGGTCAGGAGTCCAAGTCACCCCTGAGGCCAGCACTGGTCTACAGCACGCCCCCTCCTGACCCTGGCCTGGAATGGGCTTTACAGAGCGTCTGTGACATCTCCATATGAGTCTTCATCAGAGGTTACACCTGCTACCCCCAGTATGAGTTTTGCGGGTGCTGTGGCAAATCACCACCAGGACAGTGGCTAATACCATCTGGTGTATCCTCCTGCACGTCTAAAGGCCTCAAGTCACTTGTCACACGATGGAGCCAAAGTGTGGCCTCATGCCCCTCATGGAGGCCCCAGAGGAAGAGTCTAAAGACAAAATCTCTTGAGCTGGCTGGATGCCTGTGGGGGCCTTGTGCTACCTCCCCACTGTAGTCCTTCTCTACCTTGCTGTGTGGGAAAGGCAACCCGGCCGCTGCCTCCTTCATCTCCTGCTCTTGGTCAGGTTTTTATCACAGCAAGAGAAGCAAATCGTGCCACTGGGACAGCCCTGACAACACCAGCAGAGGCCCTCCTGAGTAGGACATTGACGCTGAGACCTGACGGCTGAGAGTCACCCAGCAGCAGAACAGAGAGGTGCATTCCTGGCAGAGGGAATGACATATGGAGGCAAGGAAGGGACAGGGAGAGTGGTCCATGATGACACTCGTGGGAACACTGATGACAGTTTCCCTGTTACCCTGGTTCCTTTCACATGGGTAAGGTGAGGGTGTTGCGCATGTACCTAGCCAAAGCCCTGCTGGGGTCTCCTTCCACCCAAGACTGGAGGAGGCAGAGGGGAGACTCCCATGCTGAGGATCTCTCTCTGTCACCGGCTGCTGGAGGTCTGACTCATAACAGGGAAGCTGGCCTTTGGATTATCAAAGTGGTAAGATACAGCCACTGCAGGAAGGATGGGAACCAAAATGGGGGGCAGATGGGAACGGACAAAGTCCTGGCAATGGTAGACCGGTGCTCCCACCTCCAAAGGGGATGAACTTGCCTCCACCAACAGCCCACACAGAGAGCCCAGCTACTGCTTGGTCAAAGGCATAGGGTGTGCCAGGAAGAAACCTGTTCATGAGACGGACATATCCCTACAAGCCTCTGGCATGGGGCGGACCACTGCCCCTCTCCCTGGAGAGCAAAATACTCCTGGCTGCAAAACGTGTTCCTTTTTCTGAGGGTTCCAGGCCCCAGTGCAGGCTAGGGTCTTCCGGGGGGCGGGGAGGGGTGGGGAGGCAGTGTGGGAGGCCTAGTGTCCTCACACAGAGCCTCAATTTCTACATCTGTGGAATGGGCCTAGTGATAGCATCTCAATGGTTGTCACGTGAGATGAGTCAGTCTCCGTGGAGAACTCAGCACTGTGGCTGGAAGCACACGGGCTCACTAAACATACTATTATTGTTATTTATGATGGGGACAACCTGTGCTGAGCTGGCATCTATCTACCAGGCTGGGCCAGTGTGACTCACCAACATGTCACCTCCCACTCCCGAATGTGTTGACCGTCGCTGATAAAAGCCCGGCGGATCCTGAAGCCCCAACACAGCCCCAGTGGTGGCCCCAAAGGACAAACCACACCCAAGAGATGGGACTCCTGTCTTGTGGCAAGAGCACTCTTGGGTAGCCCAGGATGCCCCTCACAAGGTTATTCCAAGGATGAGCTCATTCCTGATGAGGCTCAGAGAAACCAGATCTTATCAGGGTACTGGCTGGAATAACCACCACCGCCCCGTTGAGTCCCACTGGAGCAGGGATTCAGCTTTGGGGACTCGGCTGCTCAGGGACAAAGGGTGGGGCCTACGAGGTTCCTACCATGACCCGTTTGATGGGGAAGTCCTTCAGGCCTCTGTCCCTCGGGGAGTCAAAGACCACGGGCAGCGTCTTGTGGGGAGCCTGGATGTAGCCGATCTCCATTTCGTCCTGGAGGAGCACATAGAGGCTGCTGGATAGGCCACAAAGTCCTGTACCTGCTGTGATGTGGACCTGCCCCACCTGCTAGCCACTGCCATCAAGAACAAACTCTGTGGGACACCTGGGCCCAGAGAATGGCTCTGAGGCTGCAGACCTGTGTCCTGCACGGCCTGCTGGGAAAAGGAATAGGACAGAGGCCCTGAATCTGGGGGGTGGGGACGACCCTCAGCTGAGGCTGGGATGGGTGATTGAGCCTTGTCCTTAGGGAGAGAGACCATCCAATATTGGGGTGTCTAGGGGTGCTGAGGGGATGCTGAGGGACTCAGAGAACTCCCAGAATGGCTAGAATAGGCAGAGGCTTCAGTGGGAAGGCAGTTGACTGAGTCTAGGCAACAGCAGCCTTCTGGACCTCACAGGAGCAGGCAGGAGGCCCACCCGGCACTCTAGGTGGGTGTCCACGTTTTCAGCAATGGATCTGGTGAGGACTTTGCCCCTCCAGCAAGCAGCTGTGCAGTGTGCGGGGACAGTCGCTATGAGAAGTCACAGGATGGAAACCTTGGTTAGTGGGGACGTGTCTGCAGCGTCCCAGGGATCAGCCTATATCACAGAGGTGGGATGACAGGGGCGGGACTTAGGGGACAGGAAGAGAGACACAGTCCCACTGGAGGGACGGCATACATGGAGGGGCAGCCTTCATGCTGGCCTCTGATGAGCACGACTGGAGTATGGGTGATGAGGAGGGGAACGTCTGCGGAGCGATGGGCAAAAGGCAGCAGGTGAGAGCAGGGATGGATGGCCATGGAGATGGCAGGGGCCACACAGTGACTATGTCAAGTGAACTCTTAACTTGAGCCCCCGGGGTGAGTACCTTCCAAGGCTCCTTCCTCTTAGTCCATCCCAGGAAGGATGGCCCCCAAGTTCTAGGCTGTGCCCCAGGAGCCCATAGCCCGCATCTGTCCCTTGGCCTCCAGTGGACAGGGCCACGTACCTGCATCCACTGGTCATCCAAATTCTCTTCCTCTGGGCACACAGTCAGCTTGCACTTGGCTTTCTTGGTCAGAGCAGTCAATGAATTTAGGAAGTCTTCGTTTTCAGAAATCCTACAAACATTAGCCCCGATGTCCACAGAGCAGCGACCATGATAACAATTTGTCCCTCTCCCCAGGGTCCTGAGCAAATTATGGCTTCCAGCGTCTGAGGGCAGGGAGATTTTTTTCTTCATTCCTAGCTAACATAGCACCCAGAATTCAGGGCTCTTCCTAGTGTACCCAGACCCCACCCCCCTAGAGCTTCACCTGCACACGTATACTTCCTGGGGGGGCTGGGTGTTGGGGGTCATGATCCAGGGGGCCACACGAAACGTCACACTGTCTTGGAACACCAGGGCCTCAGGGAGATCCTGGAGGGGAAAGATGAGAAGGTATGTCATGTCAAGCAGGGTTCATCTGCTTCCTCTCCCCCACCCTCTTCTAGGCTGAGGCCTACCGGGTTAGATATGTCCAGCAGCGAGACTGTGAGGGGAATGAGCCCCTGGAAGTCAGCGTCAGGGAAAGCCAGACCCTCCACATAGAAATTTGTGCTGTGTTGGCCGCCTGGCAACTCCAGGCGGTGTGAGAACTGTTGTGGGCCCAGGACCACCTTGTATCTGGATGGCAGCTTGCCCCCTAGACAGAGGCAGAGCGTGCTTAGCCCTAGCGTGCCTCTGTGGCTCCGATTTCCTCCCCTCCATGCTGAGATGCCCAGAGTCCTTGTGTGCCACTACCCAAGGGTCCCTGGAAGTGTTTAGGGGGGAAATAGCAAAACTCCAGTTGGGACCTTGTTTTCCTGACTAGAGGGGTCCAGGAAGGGCACGACAGGTGCCAAGCCATCCCTAACTCCACTCCGTTCATTTATCCCCAAGCACACTGTGCTGTGTCCTGAGTGACCATGGAGGAACAAAGACCATTAACGTATAACAGACACCATTTAAAACAATGGGAGAGGGAAGTGGGGGGGGGGTTGCATCCTGGGGGTGACAGTGCCTAGATGTTGGGGACTGCTACCACCAGACCTGAATTTCCTGTAAACAACTTGTTTTCCTCTGCTCTGAGCAGCCTGCAGCTGCTCCGAGCACGAGACCCTGATGGCAGGGGAGTGGGTTCTGATGAGTCTGCAGCTGAAAGATCCCGAGAGCTGGGCGTGGCCAGAGCCCTGTATAAGCCGCCCCTGAGCACAATCAAGGTGGTGGTCTTGTTTCAAGGATGATCCGTGTCTCTGTCTCTCCATCTGTGTGTGTATGTGTGTCAATCTCCAGGCCCCTGTCTGCCTCACAAACGTCCCCCAGCTCAGTACACGTAGTACAGGCACTACGGGACCATAGTAGCAGGGACGTGACAGAGGCACAAAGTAAGTCATCCCTCTATCAGCTTGATTCGCTAGTTCGTCTAGGATGGAAGGGTGGGGCCAAGCTGAGCCTTGGAAAGCCCTCTCCTGTCCACTATCCCTAGGGGAGCAGAGACATCAGTACATGCCCCTCCCCCTGGGCCTCCACTCACCATTTTTAACCATGCGCACTGCACAATGGCTGCTCTGGCCCCCCATGCTGGCCACTCTGCTCCCCTTCATTCCTGAACCACACAGGCTCATTCCTCCTCAGGGCCTTGCACCTGCTATCCCCCCCCCCCCCCCCCCCCGAATCTGGGATGTCCTTCCTGAGAGTACCCGCAGTCTCCTCGGACCTCCCTCTCTCTCCACCCCAGTTCCACTCCTCCCACTGCCGGTCCTCATTATCTTACCTGTCACCCCTCCTATCCCACTAGGATGAAGTGACATGGGGCAAAGAGTCGGTCATGTTCATGGTTGTGAGCCCAGGGCTCAGAACTGAGGCTGGCAATGCCGGGTTAGCGGGTGTGAGGGGCCGCAAACCTATGATGTCTGGGCCACAAGGGGTTCATGGCTCACAGGGGCTGTAAGGGGCACATGGTGGGAGGTGAGGGGAAAGAGGGAGGGGAAGTAGGAGAAGAGAAAGGAACTAGGAAAGAGACACAAAGAGAAATAAGTGAGAAAGGAGAAAGAAGGAAAAGCAAAGCGAGGGAGAGAATAGAGAGGAGGGGGAGGGGAAGAGGTGGGCGCCCACTGGAGGGAGTCCTTGTGCCCAGCTGGGACGAGGCATCTATTGACCTTCATCTGGAGACAGACGACAGACGCCTGTGCCTGGCACTCAGAACCCAGCACACCATAGCTCCATAGGAACTGCTTGCCAAAGGGGAGTGGGGCAGGGCAGCGCCCCATCTGGTGGGGGCGGGAAAGGAGCACGGGGTCACGGGAGGCAAGGGAAGGGCCAGGCCGACTCACGTGTGACCCGGAACACCCTCACTTTGTTCATCTTGTTCTTGGCCACGTGCAGCACGAGCTGATATTTGGCAAAGAAGTCTTTGGGAGTCTTCGTGCTTAGGGTCATTGGGGACATGTCCTGCAGGTCTAAAACAAGAAGCGTGTGGCCCAAGATTGTTATATCTGTATTATATCTCTAGTGCCCAGCTCCCTCCAGCTGCCTCCTGGTGAAGCCCACACTCCCACACACCCTGCCGCAAAGGAACCTGGTTTCTTTTCCTTTTTTACAATGCTGCTCTTTTTGCTCATTTTTTTTAAATATTTGTTTTTTTTTATTTATTATGCATACAATATTTGTTCACATGTATTCCTGCAGGCCAGAAGAGGGCACCAGACCTCATTACAGATGGTTGTGAGCCACCATGTGGTTGCTGGGAATTGAACTCAGGACCTTTGGAAGAGCAGGCAGTGCTCTTAACCACTGAGCCATCTCTCCAGCCCCTTTTTGCTCATTTTTAAACTTACATTTACTGTTTTCTTTTGTTCCACAGCTCTGGCAACAGAACTGGGAGTCTCAGGTATACAAGGAAAGAACTCCACCACTCACCCCCAGCCCGCGGTTACTTACTTATCGTCTGTATGTGTGGGAGAGGTTAAACACGCTGTGGTACGTGTGGGGGGCAGAGGACACGACAGTTTGTACAGCGTTCTCTTCCTCTACCATGCTGCACCCCGGTATTGAACTCAGGACATCAGACTTGGCAGCGAGCACCCCTACCCTACTCCGTGAGCCCTCTCGCCAGCCCCTGACTCTATTCTCTTCAGCATATATATGATGTTTATCTGTGAATGTCTCCAAAAGGGGGAGCCAAGGATAGAAACCCAGAGCAACAAGGCCTCCTGTCCCACTGTCATTTCTTGCTGTGACCCCAGCACTCAAATTCCAGAGCACAGAGAGTGCCCAGGAGAGCGGTGGTACATGGTGGTGGGCAGCATGGATTTGTATATCAGGGTGATGGGGAATATGCCAAGGGGTCACTGCTGGCGGCTGGGCTACGGTGAAGGAGGCAAGGATTTGGGCTCAACCTGGATCTGGGTAAGCTTGGGGAAATCCTTCGGCTCTTAGTGCCTCAGTTTCTCTATCAGTAAACAGGGCAGAGAGAATGCCAAAGGGTGGGGAGTGTAAAGACGAGGGGACACCTTTGGAGCCATTTTTGTCCAGAGCCCCTGGAGTGCCCACAAGGTCATGGATAATAAATATCCTTCAGGGCTGTCCCTGGTGTCAGTGTGAGATACATAGTTGCTCCCATACAGTCTTAGCACTTTATCATTCCCCTTCCCCCACTGCTAGGGAAGGTGGGTGACTTGTCTCACCCCTGTCCTACCCCAGCATCCTGGGTGAGTACCCACTGAGACTCTGCAGGACCCACCACCATTCTTGAACCTCTTAAACCCGCCAAGGAGTCAGGTTGTCTGTGCTACAAATACTGACGGCAGCTGAGTAACTGTGTGACTTTCACAAGCTTGACTTCTTGTCTTATCTTTTTTTTAAAAAAATTTATTATGTATACAGTATTCTGCCTGCAGTTCTGCCTACACGCCAGAAGAGGGCACCAGATCTCATTACAGATGGTTGTGATGTGTTTGCTGAGACTTAAACTCTGGAAGATCAGTCAGTGCTCTTAACTGCTGAGCCGTCTCTCTAACCCTTGTCTTTTTTTTTTTTTTTTTTTTTTTTTT